CTGATATACACCTGAACATCAGCAGGAGAGGACTCTTTAAAGTAGAGACACTACATACTGATATACACCTGAACATCAGCAGGAGAGGACTCTTTAAAGTAGAGACACTACCTACTGATATTACACCTGAACATCAGCAGGAGAGGACTCTTTAAAGTAGAGACACTACATACTGATATACACCTGAACATCAGCAGGAGAGGACTCTTTAAAGTAGAGACAGTACATACTGATATACACCTGAACAATCAGCAGGAGAGGACTCTTTAAAGTAGAGACACTACCTACTGATATACACCTGAACATCAGCAGGAGAGGACTCTTTAAAGTAGAGACACTACCTACTGATATACACCTGAACATCAGCAGGAGAGGACTCTTTAAAGTAGAGACACTACGTACTGATATGCACCTGAACATCAGCAGGAGAGGACTCTTTAAAGTAGAGACACTACATACTGATATACACCTGAACATCAGCAGGAGAGGACTCTTTAAAGTAGAGACACTACATACTGATATACACCTGAACATCAGCAGGAGAGGACTCTTTAAAGTAGAGACACTACATACTGATATACAACCTGAACATCAGCAGGAGAGGACTCTTTAAAGTAGAGACTCTACATACTGATATACACCTGGACATCAGCAGGAGAGGACTCTTTAAAGTAGAGACACTACATACTGATATACACCTGAACATCAGCAGGAGAGGACTCTTTAAAGTAGAGACACTACATACTGATATACACCTGAACATCAGCAGGAGAGGACGCTTTAAAGTAGAGACACTACATACTGATATACACCTGAACATCAGCAGGAGAGGACTCTTTAAAGTAGAGACACTACATACTGATATACACCTGAACATCAGCAGGAGAGGACTCTTTAAAGTAGAGACACTACATACTGATATACACCTGAACATCAGCAGGAGAGGACTCTTTAAAGTAGAGACACTACATACTGATATACACCTGAACATCAGCAGGAGAGGACTCTTTAAAGTAGAGACACTACATACTGATATACACCTGAACATCAGCAGGAGAGGACGCTTTAAAGTAGAGACACTACATACTGATATACACCTGAACATCAGCAGGAGAGGACTCTTTAAAGTAGAGACACTACATACTGATATACACCTGAACATCAGCAGGAGAGGACTCTTTAAAGTAGAGACACTACATACTGATATACACCTGAACATCAGCAGGAGAGGACTCTTTAAAGTAGAGACACTACATACTGATATACACCTGAACATCAGCAGGAGAGGACTCTTTAAAGTAGAGACACTACATACTGATATACACCTGAACATCAGCAGGAGAGGACTCTTTAAAGTAGAGGCACTACATACTGATATACACCTGAACATCAGCAGGAGAGGACTCTTTAAAGTGGAGACACTACATACTGATATACACCTGAACATCAGCAGGAGAGGACTCTTTAAAGTAGAGGCACTACATACTGATATACACCTGCACATCAGCAGGAGAGGACTCTTTAAAGTGGAGACACTACATACTGATATACACCTGAACATCAGCAGGATACGTCCTCTTGTTAATCATAATCTATACAAAGTGTTTTTTCAACTTGGGTATTTTCCTTCATACCTCTCAACATTGCTCTCAGGGTGTTTGAGGATGTGGTTAAGCATCCGCTCTGGTGCCCTGTTTACAAAGGAAGGTGTCCACTTGCTGAAGCAGTGACTTGTTTTTAAAAGAGTCTATTTGTCGATCATTTGTAAAGTTTTAAGGATGAACCAATGGGCTCGAGACTGAGAGCTCATTACAGAAATCAGAAAGTATTGAGAGATGGACTAAATTATTTTGGTCTTTTCATGGGAACATTGTACATTTCTAGACGTATCATTAATGTATATTGTAATTAGTTTATGTTAAGTGTCTTGGCCCCTATTCTGAAGCTTTGTAGAGTTTATCAGGCTGTCACATTTCACACCTCACCATTGTGTCTCATCTGTGCAGGGGTAATTTTAACGGGAGGAAACCCTATAGTCCAGGGTCCAGCTGCTCGGGATGTAATGGCACCTGTGTGGACAATCTCTGCCGTAAGTATCCACGTTTAGTGATGCAAAAAGTACTTAATATTCTCCTTTTGAATTAGGTTTTTAGTAACAGATCACCAACAAATGTGTACCTTTTTATAGTATATATACGGAGTGAATGTATATACCCGGGGTGTTTCTCAATGTCGAGTACGCTTGCTTGGTAGCACATGTCTTCCGAGTCACTTGCTTCAGAAGCGAGGCAAGAATACTTCCTGGCATTCGGAAAACTGTGGGTGTTTCTCAATGTCGAGGAAGGCTGCTCCAGAGCCACTATTTCAAGCATACTACGTAATCGAGTGCCGTCGAAGTACTGTTCGAATCCAATGTCCAGCATAGGCCTACTTGGAATTCTTCAGAGCCCAGCGTACTTCGTTTGGAGAAATTTCGAGGCTGCACATGTGTAGACTCCGCGGTCTTAAAATCCCCACAATGCTTTGCGCACGGACCAATTTCCCCAAATCTGTGGCGGAAAATGTAAGGCGGGGCCTCTCATATGACGCACACCTGCACACTTGCTGCACATTATCCCGCTTATTACATGGCCACATTCAGGGGCGGTTCTAGAGGGGCCAGTGCCCCCCTAACACTGACTTTGGACCCCCCCTGTGGCCCCCCTAAAAATGAAAAAAAAACAAAAACGATTTCTTGGCTGACGGAATAGGCGGAAGTAACGATATTTGTCATTCTAGTCGGACCCATTAGAGCAGGGGTCTCCAACACGTCGATCACGAGCTACCGGTATCTCGCAAGCCCCCACTTTACAAATATGTTATATTTTTTTAACGCAAGCCGTCATCGCCACGGAGGAGCACACAGCCTCTGTGAGCGAGTGAGACAGAGAGAGTGAGAGAGCGAGAGAGCACACCTTTATCTATTTAATGTGTTGTAAAAAATAAAGAAATCATTCCAATCTGTAGGCTACTATAGGACAGTAGAAGAAAAAAAACGATTTGAAAGGGGAGTGATTAGTAAAATATGCATAAATAAAAAGAAAGAATACTATAGGTAACATAACATAAGAATGAACAAGTTTAAATGATTTGTTATTGGTTGTGATCATATTCTAAAGATTTTTTGATTATTGAAAAGTATACAGCTCCCTTTCATCTGAGTGTTGAGAGTCGTTGCTTGCTTTAAAAGCAGCACAATTCATGATGTCAAACCTTGGAAAGTATCTAGATATCCCCTGCCCTAATGCCAAAGTAACTGGCAAACTGAATATGTGTCGCTGTTTGATGTCTATGTCTGGACCGCTATATAGTTGTTTATTTCTGGCCCCTCTTCTAAAGCTTCCTATAGCTCATTAGGATGTCCCATTTCACGTGTCTCCATTGTCTGTTTTATTGATTAATAATAATCATATTTAATATGTGCTCTCAGGTTACAGATGGACCCCAGATTGGGATCCGGCTACTTCTAACAGCGACTACGTTCCCGTTTTAATCGTCCGCCCTCTTGCACTCGTCGTCACCTTCATCGCTGCATTCGCTGTGCACCACTTCTATCCAAATGTCTTCTTCTACGAGTAAAACCACTGTGGTGTTCATGGTCTTATTTATTAAAGGGCTCAGATCGGGGGTGTCAAATGTACGGCGGTTACTTTGCAAAGTGTAAAAAAGGTGGGAGAAGTACTCAGATCTTGTACTTGAGTAAAAGTAGAAGTACTCAGATCTTGTACTTGAGTAAAAGTAGAAGTACTCAGATCTTGTACTTGAGTAAAAGTAGAAGTACCAGAGTGTCGGAATACTCTGTTACAGTAAAAGTCCTGCATTCAAAATGTTCCTCAAGTAAAAGTAGAAAAGTATTCTCATCTAAATATAGTGAAAGTAGCGACAGTTAAAGTAGTCGTTGTGCAGATTGATCCATTTCAGAATAATATATATGATATGTTTTATAATGATTGATCATTAAAGTGTTCTCAAAGCTGGTAAAGGTGCAGCTAGTTTGAATGACTTTGTATACTGCAGGGTAGCTGGTGGATTTACTCCAGGTGGAACTAAAGTCTGATTTAACACTTGGTTATATTTCACATCATTCATCCACATCTGTAGAGTAACTGAAGGTATTAAATACATGTAGTGGAGTAAAAGTACAAAGTAGCATACAATGGAAATACCCAACTGAAAGTACCTAAACATTTTACTTAAGTACAGTACTTGAGTAAATCTACGTAGTTACTTTACACCTCTGAAAAGGTGGGATATCTACCCCTTCTTCCCTAACAGTTCCCACTCAAGTTTGCATGGTTCAGGATTGATACACAGATGTGGAAATGAATGTAAAAAGTTCTAGATCTTCAGTTGTTTTGATCATAAAGTTAAATACTATATAGTGTTCAGTTCCAGATATCGATGACTACATGTTTTTGTAGATACACTGAGTAATGAGTAAATGATAATCAGAGGTATTAAACTGTTGAAATTCAACTTATTTAGTTATTATAGGTTTTCATGCTATGATTTTACTGCTTATGTGGCCACTTTAGATCAAATTTGGCGGCACAGGGTCCTTGAAATAAGTTAAACACCCTTGACTTAGTTGAAGATGGAGCTAATTTACACCGTGTTTTTCTATATTCAATCTTTTAAGACTTGTGAATGCATTTAACCTGCTTACCTCTTTAAAAGGGACACTGCTTGCCATAGATTTCATCCATCAGACTCGCATGTTTTGGAGGGAAACTAAAGTAAACAGCCAATAACTCCTCACTGCAATGTTGGTGGATCGAGCTGAAGGAATTTGTATAATCGTGATATTTATGACCGTATTTCCTTATGTTCGCACCACCATACACCAAAGCAAATCCCTTGTATGTGTAAACCATAGACTGTATATATAAAAGTGTAAACGCAGTAACAATAAACCCGATTCTGATTAAAAACATGTCTTTATTTTTACATTTCCATCAGTTTCAATCTGCCTGAACACACATAGGGAAGTAGAGCAGTACGTTTTTTACACCTATACAAAACCAGGAACTGTATGAGAAAGAAAAAAAGGAAATGTTTGCTCTCACACATCTCTCTCTTCGACTGAGAATTGGTCTCGATTAGTAATACGAACAGGAAATCCTTATTACAAAAGTAGCTCGAAATATTTCTCGGTATTTAGAGTCGTTCAGAAACGTCCATTGATCCAAACACACACACACTTTGTGTACTCCTTGCCTGTGTGAGTGTGTGGTTAGCGTTTCTTTTTTTTTTGCCTCTTTGCTTTTTGTTCATGTTGCCACTGGGGGGGGGCGCTGGGTTCACTGGTGGAGCCCCCAGTCTCTTAGTTTTGGCTTTTTTCACTTTCTCCTTTAAGGCCTCGATGTCCAGCTTTCCTTCTGTAGAAACTGTGGCAAAAACAAAGGAGAGGTTAGCAGGTGGCAAAGTGTGTTATATGTAAGGGATAATGTGCAGCGACGCGGTCATTATGGGGAAAAGAACACACCGACAGGCTGATCAGGAGCCCGACGCGAAGCGGAGGGATCTAGATCGGCATGAAGGTGTTTCTTTTCCCCATAATGACCAAGTCCGCTGCACATTATCCCGCATGGCCACATTCTCAACAAAGTAACGTTATGACTCCCAAATATTACTTGAAATGCTTTTATGGATTTAGAAAATTATTTTATTGATTTAAAAAACAGTTGTATTGATTTAAATTGACATGCATCCGCTAAGAAAAATAGTCCGTTGTTACTGTTTGAACTAACGTAGCAACGGCAGGAACGGCTTCGATAGCGTTTTTGAGGAGCTTTTTGATTACAGATTTGAAAACATCGCTCCTTGCTTTAAAAGTAGCACAATTCATTAAGTCAAACCTTGGAAAGTATCTAGATATCCCTGCCCTAATGCCAAAGTAACTGCACACTGAATATGTGTCCCCGTTTGATGTCTATGTCTGGACCGCTGCGTAAAAAGGAGGGTTTCTGCCCCGTTACTTCTGCGCTGATTTTCATGTCCAGTTCGAAAAGCAAACTGCATGCAGTTTGCTTTTCGGCCCAACTGTATACAGTTAAATCGACCGGACTTCTTTCTGAAGATGTGAGCGTCCTTAACAACGGTCAATAAGTCCTTGACAGCAGTCTGTCTGTTCGGTATTAACAACGTGTCACGTGTTCTGAATTGACCAATCAGAATCGAGTATTCAACTAAGCCATGTAATAAATCGTGATAAAGAAGGTCACCTATTATCCACTTCTTCATGTCTCTTCTACATCAACATGTGTCCCCTCTTCTTCATGTCTTTTCTACATCAACATGTGTCCCCTCTTCTTCATGTCTCTTCTACATCAACATGTGTCCCCTCTTCTTCATGTCTCTTCTACATCAACATGTGTCCCCTCTTCTTCATGTCTCTTCTACATCAACATGTGTCCCCTCTTCTTCATGTCTCTTCTACATCAACATGTGTCCCCTCTTCTTCATGTCTCTTCTACATCAACATGTGTCCCCTCTTCTTCATGTCTCTTCTACATCAACATGTGTCCCCTCTTCTTCATGTCTCTTCTACATCAACATGTGTCCCCTCTTCTTCATGTCTCTTCTACATCAACATGTGTCCCCTCTTCTTCATGTCTCTTCTACATCAACATGTGTCCCCTCTTCTTCATGTCTCTTCTACATCAACATGTGTCCCCTCTTCTTCATGTCTCTTCTACATCAACATGTGTCCCCTCTTCTTCATGTCTCTTCTACATCAACATGTGTCCCCTCTTCTTCATGTCTCTTCTACATCAACATGTGTCCCCTCTTCTTCATGTCTCTTCTATCAACAGTGTCCCCTCTTCTTCATGTCTCTTCTACATCAACATGTGTCCCCTCTTCTTCATGTCTCTTCTACATCAACATGTGTCCCCTCTTCTTGATGTCTCTTCTACATCAACATGTGTCCCCTCTTCTTCATGTCTCTTCTACATCAACATGTGTCCCCTCTTCTTCATGTCTCTTCTACATCAACATGTGTCCCCTCTTCTTCATGTCTCTTCTACATCAACATGTGTCCCCTCTTCTCATGTCTCTTCTACATCAACATGTGTCCCCTTTCTTCTTCATGTCTCTTCTACATCAACATGTGTCCCCTCTTCTTCAGTCTCTTCTACATCAACATGTGTCCCCTCTTCTTCATGTCTCTTCTACATCAACATGTGTCCCCTCTTCTTCATGTCTCTTCTACATCAACATGTGTCCCCTCTTCTTCATGTCTCTTCTACATCAACATGTGTCCCCTCTTCTTCATGTCTCTTCTACATCAACATGTGTCCCCTCTTCTTCATGTCTCTCTCTACATCAACATGTGTCCCCTCTTCTTCATGTCTCTTCTACATCAACATGTGTCCCTCTTCTTCATGTCTCTTCTACATCAACATGTGTCCCCTCTTCTTCATGTCTCTCTACATCAACATGTGTCCCCTCTTCTTCATGTCTCTTCTACATCAACATGTGTCCCCTCTTCTTCATGTCTCTTCTACATCAACATGTGTCCCCTCTTCTTCATGTCTCTTCTACATCAACATGTGTCCCCTCTTCTTCATGTCTCTTCTACATCAACATGTGTCCCCTCTTCTTCATGTCTCTTCTACATCAACATGTGTCCCCTCTTCTTCATGTCTCTTCTACATCAACATGTGTCCCCTCTTCTTCATGTCTCTTCTACATCAACATGTGTCCCCTCTTCTTCATGTCTCTTCTACATCAACATGTGTCCCCTCTTCTTCATGTCTCTTCTCTACATCAACATGTGTCCCCTCTTCTTCATGTCTCTTCTACATCAACATGTGTCCCCTCTTCTTCATGTCTCTTCTACATCAACATGTGTCCCCTCTTCTTCATGTCTCTTCTACATCAACATGTGTCCCCTCTTCTTCATGTCTCTTCTACATCAACATGTGTCCCCTCTTCTTCATGTCTCTTCTACATCAACATGTGTCCCCTCTTCTTCATGTCTCTTCTACATCAACATGTGTCCCCTCTTCTTCATGTCTCTTCTACATCAACATGTGTCCCCTCTTCTTCATGTCTCTTCTACATCAACAGTGTCCCCTCTTCTTCATGTCTCTTCTACATCAACATGTGTCCCCTCTTCTTCATGTCTCTTCTACATCAACATGTGTCCCCTCTTCTTCATGTCTCTTCTACATCAACATGTGTCCCCTCTTCTTCATGTCTCTTCTACATCAACATGTGTCCCCTCTTCTCATGTCTCTTCTACATCAACATGTGTCCCCTCTTCTTCATGTCTCTTCTACATCAACATGTGTCCCCTCTTTCTTCATGTCTCTTCTACATCAACATGTGTCCCTCTTCTTCATGTCTCTTCTACATCAACATGTGTCCCCCTCTTCATGTCTCTTCTACATCAACATGTGTCCCCTCTTCTTCATGTCTCTTCTACATCAACATGTGTCCCCTCTTCTTCATGTCTCTTCTACATCAACATGTGTCCCCTCTTCTCATGTCTCTTCTACATCAACATGTGTCCCCTCTTCTTCATGTCTCTTCTACATCAACATGTGTCCCCTCTTCTTCATGTCTCTTCTACATCAACATGTGTCCCCTCTCTCTTCATGTCTCTTCTACATCAACATGTGTCCCCTCTTCTTCATGTCTCTTCTACATCAACATGTGTCCCCTCTTCTTCATGTCTCTTCTACATCAACATGTGTCCCCTCTTCTTCATGTCTCTTCTACATCAACATGTGTCCCCTCTCTTCATGTCTCTTCTACATCAACATGTGTCCCCTCTTCTTCATGTCTCTTCTACATCAACATGTGTCCCCTCTTCTTCATGTCTCTTCTACATCATCAACATGTGTCCCCTCTGTGGAAGAGACTCTGAAAGTTTCAGGAACAAAGATTCTCTCTCTTTTTGATCCATTTCTATAAAAACCTGTCTGAAAATGAGCTGATCAGATTTTGGCCACTTTGTGATGTCATAACGATGTTTTGTCTTGTGTAACCATTAGCCAATCAGCAACCAAGGTAACCCCCCCTTATCACCTGAATCTCCTCCTAGAGCACCATTGAGTTCTTTGTAACCAAACCTCTCTCAGAGGGGCGTGGCCAGCAGCAGCTCATTAGCATTTAAAGCTACAGACACAGAATCAGCACTTTTGAAACAGGGCTGAAACAGAGGGGATTATGGGATGCTGCAATGATCTGTTTTGGTGTTTTAAAACACTTAGAGACATGTTTTGTATATATCTGAGACCTATATATTGTTGAAAAACAGTATACTAGGGGACCTTTAACTCAGTAACTAAATGCTCTTTATGAAACCACATAGTAAGAGAGATGTCCCGTCCCTTAGCCTATGATGTACAATGAGCGCTAACCAATAGAGGCGTGAGTGTTGTATAGTGGTGGATTTTAGCCTTTACAGACCATTTACATGCACTAAAACCTATATAACACTACAGGAAAGGGAAAACCCACAACAGCAGAATAGCAGCACCTCTTTAAAAACGTCTAGAGACGGGGTGGTAAGGACGACCTCATTGTAGGGCTGTGCAATTAATCGTATTTTAATCGCGATTACGATTATGGCTTGCGACGATTATGAAAACAGCATAATTGACAAAATACGATTATTTTGCTGGGTGCGCTTTCGCCCCACCCTAAAAGCCCACTCGGCCACGTGGGAGTGACATGTGTTGTGAGTGTTCAGCGCGAGTGAAGATGTCAGAACAAGAGCAGCTACTCGTTAAAAAGAAGGGTAAAACTATTTCCACTATTTGCAAGTAGCCTACTTTGTCATTACATTCCACATCGCTAAAGATATGTGCCCAGTTAGCACTGTTAGCAACCAGGGCTTTAAGCAACTTGTCAACACGTTGGACAAGCGTTACGCGATGCCGTCTCGGTATTATTTCAGCAGGTCTGCGCTGCCTGCACTATATGACAAATTTCGTGGGGAAGTTGAGAGAGATGTGGCTTCAGCTGACTACTTTGCGACCACAACAGACCTATGGTCTAGCCCAGGGGTGCCCAACCAGTCGATCGCGAGATGTGTCTAAAAATAGAACAACAATATTCTGTTTTATCGTTAATGTCCTGTAACATAATCTTCCTGTGCCAGAATAATGCACTTGAACATATCAAAGCTTTGTGATTGGCCGGCGTCACTCCATGTGTCGGGGCGTGGCTGAGGGTCTTCAGTACAGGTGGCAATATCGTCACCTGCCTGCGCTCATCTCTGAAACCAGACCATGTAACAGGCTGGTGTTTTCTTGCAAAACATCTTTAAGAGATGACATGAGCAGCCCTACCAGCATTTGCCATGGTGGCCTAAACATTTTTATTTTGGTCTTAAATTGTAGTTCAACATTTATTTCCTGTTACTTCTCTGGACCATGACGGTTGGCCAGCCTTCAACGTTTAACTGAGTGGAATATGTTGAATATGTTTTACCAACATGTTGGCTATATGTTAAGGAGTGTTCAGTAGGTTGTGACATTGCACTGCAACATGTTTGATTTCATTTATTTTGGTCTAATTCATTTTTATTTATCATATTAATAATATATGTTTAGTATGGTTTTGGAAGTGCGCTCCAACATATTTGTTCATCTTGTTTATTGGTCAAATATTATTTGTTTTAAAGTTCAATAAATGGTCAATGAATAATCGTCAAAATAATCGTGATATCAATTATTGACCCAAATAATCGTGATTATGATTTTGCCATAATCGCACAGCCCTACCTCATTGTGTATCCTGATGTCTGGATATATAAGATATACAATAAGATGTGTTCCTACCTTTAGCTGATTTCTTCATCAAGGGCTTCTCTTTAGGAGGAATGAAAGCCTTGTTACGCTCTTCCTGCTTCTTGGTCAGCGCCTCGGCTTGTTTCACCTGAGAAAGAGAATAAAGACAGTCAGGTAAGGATTGTTTAACTACATCACGCTAATTAAGATGCTCCTCCACCAGCAGAGGTGAATCCACTCACCTTGACCTCCTCCATCTTCTTCCTCTTCTTCACACTTTCACGCAGGAACTCTCCGGTGGCCAGCTCCTTGTCGACCTACAGGAATCAATGTTAAGTAAAGAGTCTCAATAACAGGGTTTAAACAGGGAGAACGTTCCTCTTTTTCACGTCCGGTTATATAAAGTAAGATCCAAAAGATCATTAACATGCCGGCTTTTTATGTAGTTATTTATAACATGTCATTTTAAATGATCACGAGTGATACTACTACTGCTGCTACTACAACTAATACAACTACCACTACCATCACCACTACTACTACTACTGCTACTACTACAACCACTACTACTACTACTACTACTGCTACTACTACAACCACTACTACTACTCTACTGCTACTTACAACTAATACAACTACCATCACCATCACTACTACTACTGCTGATACTACTACCACTACCACTACCATCACT